GGACGACGACGGCGGCGGAGCATCGTCGAGTCACCGCCGCCACCCCCTTGAGGTGGATAGGGCCCCAGCCGTCAAGGGTTTCACTCAAAGGGGCCCTGGGACACACAAATAAATACACACAAATAAAAAAATGTCCCATAGTTTCCCATATGCTCTGGGTTTTTGTCTTCCTCCCCCCTTCCCATGTTTCCCATCTGTTCTGGGGAATCGACGGATAATTGTGTCTGTGTGTGTTTTTCCCCCCTGGTTCCCTTGGTCCAGGTCCAGGTGCCAGCTCTCGGCTCCTGGGGGACTTCTGACATAGACCGGCCAAAGGAAAAAAAGGAGGCCAGCGCATCATGGCCCACAGGGAACGTCAAGCGAGAACCCGCGTTGGGACACAATGGCAGTCCATCCATGTGACCCTTTTGCGCGCTGCAGACGCTGCAGGCCATGCAGAAACCGAGGGCATTTCGGAAGAATTGCATGTCTTAAAAAAAAGGCCAACCTGCACCAGTAACCCTATTATCGAATGGTGTCATGGCGCGTTGGGCGATATCACATGAAAGACTGAGGTTGCGGGTGAACGTCATTTTGCTGGAAGCGCTCCAGAAGAATATGCGCGGCGCGATGCTGAGTTTCAAAATTATTTGGGAAATGAGCCGCCATCCATCCTTGTACCTGTAGGATACTTGGAGACCAAGCGCAATGCGAAGGAGAGAACCACATTCTGAAAACGGGCGGCCCCCAGCCTTGTAGCTGACTGGGACCCTTAGTTACGCCAAGTTCTGGCGGCGCGGGGGGCGACAGCCACATTTTGAGAACGAGCAAGGGCAAGAGCAAGAGGAAGAGGATGGGGAGCGGCAGGGGCTGGTCAGGGCTACGCAGGCAAGCTCAAAGCCGCAGTCGGGCCGAAGGGAAACAAGAGCTATGGGCTGAAAGCCTTCTTCGTCGGATGCACGGGCCCTCCTTTTGTCGCGGAGTGGACGGGGAGCGACGAAGAGGGCGACCGTGCCGGTGGCGACCTTGATCTTCTGTCTCACTCTCCAAGCCAGTCCGCTCAATTTGGCCCGCGACTCGTTTTCTTCGTGCTGCACTGTGCGCGGGTCGCCGAAGGCCGTGCCACCGCATGCACCTGCTCTGGTTGGCGACGCAGGGCCGTGGGAACACGCGCGTGGTTCTGGCCCTCGGCCCTGCATCCCACTGAGCCCAACTCCAAATGGCGCCAAGTGGACGCCTACGCAGATCCCCGCTGGGCCGATCATGCCCCCAGGATCCGCGCACGCGCCTTCCCTGCCATGACAGGAGGGCGCATCGACCGACCCCGGGCCCAGGTCGGGCCCAGCCAGATCCAAGGCCGCGATGCGCGTGACGGCGTGGCCCCCCAACGGTCTGGGCCCCAGCGGCCTGGGCGCCGCCCATTTCGGCGCGCCCATTTTGTCCTCGCTCCGCGGCAGCAGGTGGAGCTCCACGCGCGGCCCCCAGCAATTCGGCCCACGCGGGGCGCCGCCAAATCGATCAGCACGGCGCAATCTGTATCGCTTAGAATGAGACTGTTCTGGGGGCGGGCAGAGGGCGCGGCAGTTGCCTGCGAACCTGCCCCCGGGGAGGCGCGCGCCCTCGCAATGTCAGCGGGCCGGCAAATATCTGAGCTTGTCCGCGGTAGCCCTCTCCTCCGAGAGCGCGGGCAGGTACTTGATAAACTTCATTGCAGGCCCACGCGCTGCAGGAGTCGATGGCGCCCATGACCCTGCCGAGCTCCTTCCTCAACAGCCCATCCAATTCAATTCTCCCCATATCATGGCGTTGCTGGTGGACGCCCGCTCGGCCGCCCTCTGAACCGTCAGGATGCCCTGCTGGCCCAGGGTGCCCTGGCCAAACTAAAACATCTCCGCCTGGCCCTCCGGGCTGCGTTCATGCGTCTGCTCGATCTGCCCCGCCCCCCCGTCGCTGGCCAGCCCGCGCCGCCCTTCTCGATGGTGGGGCACGACGGGAACAGGGCGACGCTGTGCCCCCATGCGTCGGCGTCCTTCCCGGACCACCCGCGGCCGCACTTCTTGTTCGCGCACTTCCAGTTGCCTCCGGCGGCGGCAACTCCTGGCTCGCCCAGCTGCGCCAGTGCCACTCAGCGCGCCCACTCCTCCGGCTTGAGGGGGGCTGTCTTGCACTGCGGGTACAATCGCATTGCGCGGTTTTCCCCGTCCAGGACAATCGCGAAGTCCGCCGCAGCTCCCAAACGCTCGTCCTTCAGGGCGGCCTCGCAGACCTTCGCCAGGCTGACGCGCGGGACAACTGGCATGTCTCTGTGCTCCGAAAGCTCCGATTACATCGGCTGCCCGCTGGTAATGGTCTGCTGAGTCGGCGATTCCTTCGTTTGCTTGCTCCCGAAGTTGAACCATCCGGACGTCAGGGTGCACATCGCCGGCCTGGCCCAGCACTCCGAGTCGCTGTGCTTCTTGCCCCCGTGGCACCTGAAGGCGACGCGCTCGCGTCCGCACTTGAACTGACGCTCTGACAGAATTCCGTCTCGCCGCCCTCGCAGGCCAGGACGAAGAATGAGACCAAGCCGCACATGTCCCCACAGTAGAGGAGGCTGGTCGCGACAGCCTGGGCGAGCACGAACCTGACCATGATGTTGGCCTCCCTGGCCACAAGCGTCAGCTTCGCCTTGGCCGTGGTCTCTGTAGTCACGTGTCCTCCTCGGACCTACTTCCGATCGTCGTCGCCCATCTCCAAGCTCGGCGAGAGGGAGATGTTGCCCGCCTTGCGGTATGGCCCCTGTCCTTGAAGGTCGCGCGGAGCGTTGCCACTCGCTCCCGCTCTCCGCGGCCCTCCGCCCCGGCTCCGTCTGCGTTTTTTCCTGCGCGCTGGCATGGCGAGCGCCGGGGAAAGCGCCCCTCTCGCGTCCGTCGCGACGAGGCGTCGAGGGCGCAGGCACAAAAGCCAACCCCCGCGCCCAACCGTCATTCCGAAACGGCCAAACGCCCGATCCGAAATAGCCAGATGTCGGGCAAGGGAGAGGAAACAAATTTGGGTTGGCGCATGTGGGCGCGCACAGAGAAATAATACAGATATGTGCGTGTATACATATACCTCCATCTATCCACCAGAACCATCGCGCGCTTCGCGCGCGCTCAAGTTCTATCACACGCGCTGCGACTGCGGTCGCCTGACCGATGAGCACAAGGAGTCAAACGCACGATCGCTGTCAATCTCGTGATCGCCACCATTGTCATATACGCCATGCCGAACATCGATCTCATCGCCGCAATCAACATCATCATCACCCGCAGCATAATCATAACCGTCACCAGCAGCACCAGCACCATCATCATCATCAGCATCAGCAGCATCCGCACCAGCAAAATCACCATCATCATCACCATCACTGCAATCAACACCATGGCCCTCGCTGTGAGCCGCGTCGTCGTTAGCATCATCAACGCAATACGAGTCGCCACAGCAAGAACCGCCGTCATCCTCGTAGGCATACTCATCACAACCATCACCACCCCCATCACCATCACCATCTTGCTGCCGCCGCAGCTGCGGCATCCGCCCCACGCGGCGCGCGTCGCCGCCAGCCGCCAGCCGCGGTCCACCGCCGGCGCGCGCGCGGCCAGCGGGGGCCCTGCCTCCCGCGATTCTCCTTCAGCGCCTCCAGCCCCACAGCGGCCAGGAGCCGTTGCACGCAGCCCAGCGCCTGGAGCTGCCGAGCCCGCTCCTGGAGCAAAGGTGGAGGCGGCAGGCGGGCCGTGGAAGCATCTTCAGCGAACCCGTCGGCCGCGCCGATGCCCTTCCAGTCCTTAGCGGCGAGGCCCCGCTGCAGGAAGCCCTCCCGGGCCGGGCGGGCGGGGGCCCAGCGCGCGCGGAGCGCGCCCGCCCGGGCGCGGGGCGCGATGAGCTCCCACAGGTCGGCGCGCGCCCACGCATCCATCCGCGCCCCGTCGTGGACGGCCGCAATGCCGCGACTGACGACCTGCGAATCCGCGACCACCTCGACAGGCCCGCAAGTCAAGCTCAGGGCGCGGGTCACAGCCGTGATCTCCGCGCGCTGCGCGACGTGCGCGCCGTCTACGGACCCGCCGCGCTCCGCGCGGCCTGCGCCGGTTCCCAGGCGGAACCCCATCCGGCACGCGCCGGCAAGGGGCCCCCTGGGTGCGAGCACGAGCAATCAGTCCAGGCGCGTGCCCTGGGCGCCGTTTCGCGCGGGGCGGCTGCCGGGTCGGGGGGCGGCGGCGCCGCCGCCAACCTGCTCGCCGCCTCCGCGAGTGCAGCCAGGCGCAGGCCCACTGGCAGCACGCCAGCGCGGGCGGTCTCGGCTGGGAGCCTGGAGCGCACCACCCCGCGCGCGCGAGGCCCCCACTGGCCAGCGCCGCGCCACGGTGGGGGCACCTGGTCGGTCGGCCCAATTTCGCCGCCACCGACTCCGCGATGACGTTGCCAGCCAGCACGACCCGGAACGCCCCGGCCGCGTCTGGCGCCAGGCCCCCGCCCTCGAGAAGCCGACGCGTCGCCCACCTGTCGGCGTCCGCGGCCAGATGCGCGAAGTCGGGCCGCCGCGCCGCCACCGCCCGCGACTCGCGGCGGGCCTGGGCGCCCAGCAAGACCGCGCGCGCCTCTGGCAGGCCGCTTTCTGCGGGCCAGCCCCCGCGAAGGAGGCGCCCTCTCCCCGAAGACTTTGCGCACTCGGGGAGGGAAGGGGTAGAGCGAGGGCGAGGGGCGACGAGAGGGGGGCAATCTGGGCGGAAGGCGAGCGAATCAGGAGGAGGGGCTGGGACGAAGGCAGGAATGCGCCCACGCCGGCCCCAGACGCCCATGACCGCTCTGCGCTCTGCACTCGAGGCGGCCGCCTCAGAGTGGCCACCCCCCCCGGGGAGCCCACCCACGAAATGGCACTCCTTTTTCACATTGCGGTCGAAGAAGTTTGAGAGCGGAGCCCCCCCGAGGGCGCGGCCGCGAATCACCTTCAACTGGATCTTCCTGAAGGACATCGACTTCGCGCCCGCGCGGGCTGCCCCCTAACCCGCGGCGAAAAAGAACCCGATGCCGTCGGCATGCCCGAACTTATGGGCATCGGGCTCCGCCGACTTCCCTGCGACGCTGGCGCACACGAAGTATGCGCCCGCGCAAGTGCCGCCGATCTGCTGAGCGTCAGCTACCACAGCGAGGAGCACGTGGGCGCAATGCCTCATCAAATCGAGATGCTGCCCTTGTACATTGACCAAACGTGGGTGCCCATCTGCGCTCGACACCACTGGCGCCATGACACCAGAGATGCCAGAGACGCCAGAACTGAAAGGAATTGTCGGCACAGCTGACGGCGCCACTGTCGGAGCAGACGTAGGCGCAGCTGTCGGCGCAGGGGTCGGAAAGCTGGTCGGCGCCATTGTCCGCTCAGGAGCCGGCGCAACTGTCAGCGCCGCTGTAGCGGCGGACGCGGGCGCGCTTGTCGGTGCGCGGGACGGAGGGCTGGTCCGTGCCATTGCTGGTTCAGGAGTCGGCGCAGCTGTCGATGTCGATGTCGGGACAGCTGTCGGTGAGCTTGTCGGCGTAACTGTCGGCGCGGCTGTCGGGGCGACGATTGGAGACAATGTCGGCGCAGCTGTGCTGTCGGCGCAGTGGTCAGAGATCCCGTCAGTAACATTGTTGGTTCAGGAGTCGGCGCAGCCGTCGGTGTCATTGTCGGGGCAGCCGTTGGTGAGCTTGTCGGCGTAACTGTCGGCGCGGTTGTCGGGGCGACGGCCCGAGACAATGTCGGCGCAGCTGTGCTGTCGGCGCAGTGGTCGGAGACTCCGTCGGTAACATTGTTGGTTCAGGAGTCGGCGCAGCTGTTGGCGTCACTGTTGGCGCAGGCGTCGGTGTAGCAGTCGGCGCAGCTGTCGGCGCGGTTGTCGGGTCAGCGGTCGGCGCGGCAGTTGGCGCAGCGGTCGGAGATTCGGTCGGTGCCATTGTTGGCTCAGGGGTGGGAGCAACTGTCGGTGCTGGTGTCGGCGCAGCGGTGGGCGCGCCTGTCGGTTCGGCTGTCGGCGCAGCTGTTGGCGCAGGGGTTGCAGAAGGGGTTGGTGACGGCGTGAAGCAAGAGAGGGTGCCCTGGTGGGCGAAGTATGCGGACGTCTGCCGAAATGGCGGCCCCATGACTGGATGTACTCGTCAGGCTTATCCGTCAAGATCCTGAACGCGATGCTGAAGTCGCTCGTGCTCGAGAACTCTGCCATGAAGCATCGTCTCGCCTGGTCCACAGGAACCGCTGTCTCATCTGGGCAGGAGATGTTGGTAAGCTGGTTCATGTCCGTCGGATTGTCGCAGCCATGACCGAGCATCCGCGACGTTGAACGGATCCCAAACGTTCCACCAGAGACAGAGGCGTACTTCCGTGAGGACCTTCCCGAAATCACAGTTGGAATCGATTGTGGTTCAGGTTAGTGGGTTTGGGCTTTCGAGGTGGGCAGAGGTAGACTCGAACGACTCCAGATCGTCATCGAAGTCGCCGTCGACAGTGTAGATGGCGCTGACAACGTCGATGATCAAAATATAAATTCCCCCGTCTGTATAATCGTCATTGCGACAAAACGTGAGCTTGGGCAGGAATGGGGTCTCAGGACAGAAGGTGTGATATCTCACGAACTTCCCAATGAGAGTGGCAAACTCACCAACAAAGAGATTCACCACAGCCTGAGACCCAACGATTTTGTTCCAGTACGTGTTCCTCGGGATGTACTGGCTTGTGTTGATGGAACTTATGTCGACGTGATCGCCATTATGGAGCCACCCGACTCCATAGTATCGGAGCTCACGGGGCTCCTGGAAGTCTGGGCCCAAGCCAGCGAGATTCGAATGAGACGATCTCCCCCGACCATCTTCGTTTGAAGCCGAAAATGTAAACCAATCTTCACAGTCTCCTGGCTCATGAACTATTGGTTCTTCCACGGGACAACTCTCAGGACGCACGCAACACATTGAGGACGAGAAGTCGCTATCATCGTATAAAGCGTCGAGACAGATAACGCTGCATGGAGCTTCGGGATCGTGCGAATAAACCTCGCAGGAATTGCCAAGTCTGTTCAAAGCTCCGCTGTGACCGTCCACGCACGTTGTCGGCACAGGAATCACGATCCCCGACAATACCTGGTGGCTAACACTGTTTTGCACCTCGTGCATCCCTTCCGCTGACATCTGCATCATGAACGCACCCGAGAGCCCGAAGCTGCCGGTAGCACGAGCCCCCACAGCATCGAGGACAAGTAAACCTGAGACCACGGCCGCTTGGGTCGCGCGATGTGGTGCAAGTTGGCAAGAGCCTTACCCATTCGACACTCACATGCAAGTGTCAGATGAATAAGCCAGTGAACGTGTAGGTGAAGGTTATTGGTCAAAGATCGGCCTTTGTCGTCGCAAAGTGACGATCTGTTTGGGGCCAATGCAACTTGAGCCAAAATGGCTGCGGAAGCCTCCTGTGGGCCACTAGGGATCCTCATGTGAGCCTCTTGGGAGCTTCTTGGGAGCCTCTTCAGGCCGTGTTGGGACCACCTCGAAATTTCGGTCTGGAGGACAAACTCCTTCAACAACCCATAGGTGTCGTTCCCATGATGGTTGCCATCTGCGCAATTCCAAGGTTGAAAAGTTTCCGAGGCCTCAAGATGGCTTTACAATCGCCCAAAAGAGCCCCACAAAAGGCCCTCTCCCGTCGTCCCTCATCCTGCGCACCCTCGTCCTCAATGACCTTCCCCCTCCTCCTCACACTCATCCTCGTCACCCTACTCGCCATCGCCCGCCTGAACCTCTCCTTCTTCATCGTCCGTTAATCAGCGCTCAAGCATTATGTGTCCTTCTCCTCCTTATCCTCATCCTTCTCCTCACTCTCCCTCCCGCTCATACATTCGGACCTGGGACAGAAGAACATCCCTCAAGAGCATGAGACCCTCCGTCGGCCAAACCGAGCACGACATCTACGCCCCCCCCCAGGATGCACGAGAACATCCGACAAACACGAAGACCACGCGTGTGTCCTCGCGAACCGACCTTGATCTTATGCCCTCACTCGCACTCCCCCCTAATCCTCCGCATCCCACCCCTGGAGGGTCCTCGACGCTGAGGTGCCCCTGCTGCCCAGGCTGGGGACGGACGCGCACAGCCTGCAACACAGGCAGAGCAGGAGCGGGCCAGGAACGACGACTGCGAGGGCAGGGGAGGGAGAAAAGACGGGAGGGAGGAGAGAGGGCGTGGGGGAGGGGCGAGGGGGGGGGGAGGCAGGGAGGGAGTGAGGAGGCACCGAGGAGGGAGGGCAGCAGCATCCGCTCGAACCCCGCCGAAGGCCCGCCGAGTCGGCTCGTGCCCGCGAGGAGCCCGAGGATCCCCGGCCGCCCCCTCCGCTGGGCAGAGGCTCCGCCCGAGCCGTCCTCGCAGGCACGCGTCGGCAGGCGCATCCCGCCGTGATGCGGGAGGGGCCCTGAATAGACAAGCGCGCTCCACCACTCTTGGTAGTCCCCAAACGTGGTGGTGACAACACCTGGCGGTGAGTCTCGGGCGATTTGGTGTCACCATCCGGTTTGGGGACTCGTGCGGTTTTCCGAGGATGTCCCGGACACTGGTGGGTCCAGGAGTCGCAGAACCCGGTGGTGACCCCGCGTCCCCAGACCCAGCGGTGACCTTTTCGGGGATTCCAGGTCGCCACCTGGTGTCTCACCACCCGGTTTGGGGGTTCCCAACACTCGCAAGAGAGCAACTCGCAAATGGCCTGGTCCTGCCGGGGTGCGCACGATCCACCACCTCGAGGCAGGCATGCGTCTCTCTGCTCTGACGTTGGCGGGTTGGCTCTCTGCGGACAGTGGAGCGCGCTGGGTGACTGGAGTCTGTTTACTTTACTTTCTGGGATAGCGGCCGTCATCGGCCCCCCCCTCTCCCCCGCCAGATGACGTCACGTTCCGCGCTGGCGGCGTCCGGGAATACCTAGGGATGACCGAGGCCAAGTATGAGCAGCATGTGAGTGGCGATCTGCACCACAGCGCCTGCGCACACCACAGTGTTCGCGTGCACCACAGCGCGCGTGCACACCGCCCGAGTCAGTCAGCGGAGCCGCGCCGCACGGCGGCGCATCGGCTGAAACAGCAGAGGGGGAATTACAACAGCTCCAGTGCAGAAACTTTCAGCAAGCACGTGTCTGGACAATGCTTCCCCACCGAGCTTCGCTGCAGACCGACCCGAGCTCAGCGTGCTCAGATGCCCTGGAAACTTCGCATGCTTGCAAAGCGTGCCCGTGCATCATACGTACCCGCTTCCACCTGGGCCGACGTCGTGAGACTTCCTTCCGTGCAAGGCATGCGGGCCAAGGCTCCTGGAAACAACAGCTGCAACACGAGCTGCCGAGTCCAGCAGGAGCGCGCGGGGGCGGCCCCCGGGGGATGCCGCGGCCTTCACGGGGCCCCAAGGGCGGGCGAAGAGCCGCCGGGAGCGGGCGGAGGGCAGCCAGCGGCGCGGGCCAGCCCAACGAATCGCGAAGACGGCAACAGACGGCACTACGAGCGTTGTTTTGAGTCGGCGTTTCGGCATTTGGCGGAGGGGGCGGGGGGAGGGGGCGGTGTCTGGCTCTGGACCTCTGCGCCATGCGACTGTTTGCAACAGTGCGTCCCTGGGGGGGGAGACCCCAGCTGCTGCGGCAGGCGCCAAAAACAGGGCAGGTCTACTCCGTGGCGGGGAGGAGGAGAAGGAGGAAGAGGAGGAGGAAGAGGAGGAGGAATAGAAGGAGGAGGAGGACGACGACGACGAGGAGGAATATAAGGAGGAGGAGGAGGAGGACGAGGACGAGGAGGAGGAGGAGGAGGAGGAGGAGGAGGAGGAGGACGAGGAGGAGGAGGAGGAGGAGGAGGAGGAGAAGGAGAAGGAGAACGAGGACGAGGACGAGGAGGAGGAGGAGGAGGATACGATACGCACACCCTTAGCGCCAAGGAAGGGGGCGGAGCGAGGGCCCGCGCCCATCGGCAAACACAGTGCGCGTTGGGCGGCGGTCGCCGCGCCGCCGACCCGCCCGAGAGCGGCACCCAAACGACCCCCGCGGGAGGCGCGCGCGGCCGCTCGCGCGCGGCGCTGCTGCCGCGCCTGCTGCCGCTCGCTCGCTCGCAGAGGCCTCGGTCAAGGGGCCCCAGGACACACAAATAAATACACACAGATAGAATAATTCCCCCATATTTTCCTGTATTTTCTGGGTTTTTGTCTTCCCGCCCACATTCCCATATTTTCCCGTATTTTCTGGGGGGTCGACGATTAATTGTGTCTGTGTGTTTCTTCCCCTCCTGACTCGGGCCCGCCGCCGCCCGAGGCAAGCCGCACCGATCGGGGCGGCCCCCGGCGGCGGCCGCCCCGACTCGAGGCTGCGCCGCGGGCGGGCCCGCCGCCGCTCGGAGGTCCACTTCCTGAGGGGCACGGGCAGCGGCTTGAGCAGCGAAGCCGAACAAGGCACAAGGAATCAGGGGAACGAGCCATGACATAAACATCAAAACTCGGACGTCCGCGCGGACTTCTCGGAGCCGCGCTGGAGCCCCCAGGCGGCGCCTCCGGCGCCGGCCCTGGCGCGCTCCGCGCGCCAGGATAGGGGGTTCCAGCGCCGATCCGAGAAATCCGTGCGGACCTCCGAGTTTTGATGTTTATGTCATGGCTCGTTCCCCTGATTCCTTGTGCCTTGTTCGGCTTCGTGCGCGTAGGAGTACCGCAGGGTGACCCAACATGCTCCTCGATGGCGCTCGCGGAGAAGAGTGTAAAGAACCGAACTTTATACACCGATGTTTTGTTTCCGGTCCCTGCACTGAGATTCGCACAAGAAAACGGATTCTGGTGTATACGGCATACTGGTGTATACATGTTTTGTGGCTCCCACGGAAAAAACTGGGAAACAAGTATACACCACACCACCCCGACGTCGTCCCCGACCCTCAACAAAGTCCTGGGATTGAACAACCGCCCGCCACTGGTAATGTATACGTTCCAGTTTCCGAGAGTACACACACGTCCGAGAGGCACCAGGGAAGTCCAACCAGGGAGACGTGCGCAGGGGAGACGCCTCTGTCCGGCCCGACGCCCGCTCGTGGGCTGCACGGCTACGGCACGGCGGCCAGGCCGGGCGGCGACTCGCCGCGGGAAGCCCACCTCGAGCGCTGCACCCTGGCTCCCAAGAGCGGCCGAGATGGGGGGCCACATGCGAACCCTACCCCTACCCTCCCCCTCAGAAGTCGTGGGGGGTAGGGGTAGGGTTCGCATGTGGCCCCCTGCGAGAGGCCACGGCCGCGAGCCCTTCAGCTGCGCAGTGGGGCACGGCACCGCGAGGGGCGGAGGTTACTTCATGAATGGAACTAGGTCCCAGAGGATGTGCGATCCCAGGGGCGGCCTCTCCAGCTCTTGGGAAGCGCGCCCCGTCCCGAACAGGCGCTTCGGCATGGCGCGGGATATCCTACCGAACTCCACCCGAGACCCAGGATATGGAAGAGGCAGTCCACCCGAATCAGACACCTCGTCGGGGATCGGCAGCCAAGGTTCGTGGGCGCGGGCTTGGAGGTCAAAGCCTACCTGATTCTAGAACACCAACGTCTGGGACCCTTGCAAAATTCCGCTCTCATGTTCTGGCCACAAGTGTCCATAGACAGATCGTCGTAGAGTATAAGGACAGATTCGGGGTGGATGCGTCTACAGACAACGCGGTCGTTGCGTTCGGCGCAGTGCAAGGTCGGAGCACGGGCAGATCAGCATGCGGCAGGATCGCGCCGTGCCGACTTAGGCGCTGGTTCCTGGCACCGCGGGGATCGCTAAGCCTTGACAGATCGGCCATCCATTCCCGAAACGTCAGATCGCACAACGATGGTAGGGAGCCCACAACGGACGTATGCACCCAACTATGTACATGAACACGGCCCCTCTATCCGCCTGGTCGCCACCGCTGGCTTCGCCTTGAAATCCGGGTCAGACCGCACCTCGGAAGGAGGAAAAGGCACCCATACCTCTACCCCCCGCCCGTTTTTCCCAAGGTGGCCTCCTAGGTGGCCCTCGTCGCCACCGCTGGATTCGCCTCGAAATCCTGGTCAGAACGCGCCCCGGGAGAGGTCTGGGAGGTAGCGGTATCGGTAACTTTTGGTTTCCCCAGTACCCCGGGAGAGGTCCGGGGAGTAGCGGTATCGGTACCTTGTTGGTTCCGCCAGATG